GTTGCTCGATGTGAACCGCCAGCGCTCACCTTCAGTCCAAATTGCCGCCAAAAAAAATCAATTGAGATCAGTAGCGGCGACGACATCAAACATATCAACTCGACTTGAAGCATATGCGATGAGTTTTTCCTGGTTTTCATCCCTGGCACCGCCATTCCAGGATAAACTCCCAATTTCTTGTCATGGGCTCTGCTTTCAAAGGACGGAAGCCACCGCAACCTTTGCAGCTGAATGGCTCACAAGAGGAATGTCTCGGAATGTCTCTGTCTTGAATGTGTTATATTTCTTCTTCTATCTCGTTGGTAACTATGGTCGCTCCTCTAGTTCCGCTGTAATGGTCCCGTAATGCTAACTGATTTTGCAAGCGATATCAACCCAATGCATAAGATCTTTCGAGATTCAATCACGTCATCTAGATCGGTTTGCTATCGGAACACTTGAGCGAGTCGACCCCTATTGTCTCGTTTTGACGCACATTGTCAACCAGATAGTGCCCTCTGCTTTCAGACTGCCATTCAAGCAGCTAGCAGTGGCTAGCAGCAGTATATTTGAACCTGAAGGATGATCTGCGCGAAAAATTACACGCAAGAGTATAGCTGCGAAAAAACGGATAGAATAATTGTCGAAAACAACTCAAAAGCGTAAACATACAGCACAACACATACATAATCTCTGATCCTGAGTGGTCGCCCATTTCAAGAAGGATTTTCGAGGGGCAAGTGATCTCGATGACAGCTGATCTCGGTCCATTGAGAGTTCTTACTCCATCCCGGACAAAACTTTTTTCCTGCAATAAAGTTTCGTGGATGTACGCTATTTGAATAGCTGTTGAAGAAATAATTGCAATATTGTCGCTTCGCAGTTGCGGAACGGAAACAAAACCGTGGACTTCATCAGACTGATGTAGTTGTTTCGGAGAAGAATGCCCAAGCCGATAAAAGCAGACTGATGAGAATTACACGACTTTTGTGGAGCCGCATTATTGAGACTGACTGTGTTGGGTTTCTCCTGAAACCCAGTACCACGCCATTTGGCTTAGTACTCCGCCCCTGTTATGACTCTCGGTCATGATATTGATGATGCACACCAGCAATGTTGGGGCCAGCGTTTCGCAATCGTAACCGACTCATCCGGGGCGGATCACGATTGGACCACCTACCTGCACCGGTATATACCATTTTCACTTCTAACTGAGCGCTCTTCAAACCAGTTTACATTTTTCGAACCGAACCGGACAGTTTTCAAATTCAACTATACCACGCTAGGTATTGCTAGCATCCTTTTCACGTTCGATAATCATGAAACGAATGTTCTCATTGCCACGCCCATTCCTGTGTTTTTCGCGAAATTTTATTCTTTTTTTAGAATTTTCGCTTTTTTACTATAGCAGGCTCCCTTAGTAGAAGCCAGCTGAAGCCCCTTACACTTATAAAAATGATCCAGATCGGCAGGCTCCTGCAAGGTGATCGGAGCTTCTACTAGGGGGCGGGGCCACTTGCTACAGCCTGAAAATGCAAAAATCCTGAAAAAAATCAAAATTCCGCGAAAAACCCGAAGTGGGCGTGGACAGAGGGGGGGGCTAATATGCTAGTGTATAAATGCACTCTGGCTATTAGTTTATTCGTTTCGTGAGGATTGAATGTGAAAATAACGACGTCGAAAAGTTGTAACTCAAGACTTGCGGTCATTAATTAAGAAGTGGGCGGTGTCAGATCTGTATCGTTACCAATCAGTTAATATGTGCAACTAGCAATATTGAAAAAGTCGAAAAAGCAGAATTCATAAAACCTTTAACTTACTTTCTTTCATAAACTTTAGAGAACCGTGACCGCGCTGAAAAGGGGGCGAGGATGTTGGGACGAGGCTTGCAGCAGTACCTTGTGTGGTCTAGTTATCAACTGCCTACTGCGTGGGGTGTGTCAGATTTGATTTGACTCGCGTCCGATTTGCTTTAAAAGTGTCGAAAACTGAAAATGGTGTGTATATTGTCACTTTAGGGCTTCTTGTATAGCGCTGCCTGAGAGGAGCAGGCACAGTTCAACACTTCTTTTCCGCGAACTCCTCTTTTATGGTTCTCTCTCTCTCTCTCTCTCCCCCTAACAACTACGATTACAACTTGGCCCCCTACTGAAGGAACACTGAGAGCATTACAAGCCATAAAAGACAATGAAGGCTCACAAGTAGTCAGAATATCGTCCTTTTTTCGTCTCTGAAAGAGGGTATTTCCATCAGGTATCGCAGACAAACGTCAGACTGCAGACGGAACTCGAACCCGCATTTCCAGTTCCCCCTACTGTTCGTTATCAATTACGCCACCGTGGTTGCTACTTCTCTCGCACCTCAATGGCGCAAGTAGCCATTTAGCTGAGAGGGTAGTAGCGGTCCCGGTAGCATAATGGACAACGCAACAGCAAGGAAAGCTGGAGAACAGGCTTGAGTGGTGGTCTTACTTTTGCTCCTAACTCAGCAATCTTGTTGATTTTCGCATCGCGCACTGCAGCATTCAGCAACAGCTATCAAATCAAAAATATCTTTCAAGCAATTTGCATACTTGGTTCCAAGCATGGTCTGAAATGGATCCTGAGCCGTCGATCAGGAATACCACAGATCTTTTCACCAGTTTGGATTTGCACGTCTGGCAAACCATCCCCTGAAAGAGATTTTAAATGACTTAAAGTGATTCGTCATTTTCTGCATAGTACAGGATAAGAGTACATAGATTGTGTGAGGGACTTTTAATAACGACAAGAAATATATCATGAGAATGCACCCTCCAGAGCTCCCTTCCCTTTAGCGAAATAAAGCATTCTCAATATTCACCCATGGCTGTCAGGCATAAGGATGTCATGCAAGTACATCATGATTGAGTGTACGCTGTATGCTTGCCTGGTAATAAATCCCTGCCAGGTGCGAGTAGAACAGGTCCGCAGCTGTGAAGGTGTGGACACTTCCGTCAAGCGAAACTGCGCCTACATAATGTTGCAGGGTTGGAATAGATGCATGCCGTTTGGATCTCCACAAGCCTCACAACGTCCAGCTCATGCGTCGACGGCAGAATGAATGCAGCTAAAGGAGTGTAGACGGAGGCGAAAGAGCGCAGAAATGCTGACCGTGTGGCTACGTTTAGGCGTGTTCAGGTACTGCGATAAGGAGATCACCAGTGTCGGACAAGCGGCCATTTAGAAAAAAACGAAACGCATTTCACTTCAGTGAGGTCATTCACAACATCTTTTCGGCTTCCTGTGCCCGCTTGCTCTTGTCTGAATTGGTGTCCATCCTGTTCCCACTTCCGATGCTCACCTTGTCTGCGAGAAATCTCGCAGCTCGGAGCATGATGTTCTGAGTGCCATACGAGAACGAAAGAAAAAAAAACAACTTTTCTCCAGTCAGTGTCAAAACTCTGACTCCGCTCTTCACCATGTCGCTACCGTGAACTATAAGGCACCCAATTCGACGAAAAGCATTAGGATTCTGCTGCTATGTAATAAGGAGAACGTGCTTCATAATGACGTATATCGCTCCCCTTACCTGCAGTCAGTGACCCACCAAATTTGAGTCAAACCGTCTTCAGTTACTTCAGATGTGAACAGCAACGGGAGCAAATAACGATCAAGAGAGAAATTAGCACACCATCACCTCACGGCCACCGTGCTTCTACGAAAAGCGAGAAAACTCAATTCAGAAACGGTTCTTGGAGACGTAACGTACAGGGGGAAAACACTTTGGCCGAGTCACATATCAGTAAAGCTTGCGCAGCCCAGATAGAAGACGTGGATACGAGTACCAGGGCGGAAGATACCCAAGATGTTCCTCGATAAGCAGGAGCAGGCCCTCGTCCCATCACCTTCATGTACACCAAAATATGAAGCGATCTCCAATCTAGCCTGACTGGAAAAGGCCATGGAATTCACGTCACCTCCAAACAGCTGCGAAACTTCTTGTATGGAGTCACCCATGGACAGCTACCTGGGACCAGCACTCTTGATCTGGAGGACCTCCAACATCGAGCAGCTCCGACAACGTCGCTACGGTCCAGGATATCATCTTCACCGCAGTCGCCAAGGCGCGGGTTGATGGTATGGACCGGAAGTTCCTGGAATGGGAAGACCGATATTTTCTCCATGGATCCTGGACCGAAAGTGAACGTTGACGCTTATATCAATCAACTCGAGAATATCCCGCCTTCTTGTCGTTCCCTGTACCATCCTGGTAATTTCGGGAAACTTCGTACCGCTACAGGATTCTGTGCCAACACATGGAATCAAAGGTGTCAGAAAAAAACTCGCGCCTACTTGGAACGGCGTTGAACCCGAAGAAGACGGAACATCCAGGTGTGCCACCTACCACCTGCCGTAAACCTCCTCGGTTACTGGGTTCGGGTGGAGCTCAACAGGGTGGTCTACAGTGGCGGAGAAATCAACGACCTCGCTGAACTCAGGCACCGAATCACGGTCGCGTGGCAGAATCTCTCGATGGCTTCGTCTAGAAGGCTGTGGCGGAATTTCTTGATAGCGCATAATGTGTTGTTGAATATGGGTGAAAACTTCAGTAAGAATTTGGTGAAGTGTTACTTCTATAGCCTTGAAATTCGAGGAAAAGTGTCTTTCTAGGGATCCCTATATGACTGTGGATCCTTGTCCTTGCCCCATGTGAGACAAGTGGGTGAGCAGCTGCGGAAGCGTGTCCTTCTCCCACTCAAGGGTGTCCGGGAACAGAGCTCGAGGGTAGTGCTACTCGGATGCCTTCCAAGCGCGTCATCTGTTTGCCCCTCTCACCTCTGGATGTTCTCTACCTTTGAGTGCATCTCCGCTGTAGGGTCCCAGTACCACACGAGCGCTGCATCTCGAGGATAGCACATGAGGAGAATGGAGAGCGCATTCGGGTCATCGAGCCCCGATGGCGGGCACTTTTGAGTGGGCACGCTGTTGTAGCTGCAGACCCGTTCATCCCTCAGATGGAAAAGACCCTCATCGGAGGTGGGTGCACAGCTTGCCTTTAGACTATTCAGAGTCATTGTAAACGTAATATATTTCCTAGACAATTCAGCCGCGAATAGCCTGAAACAAACTCAATAGCGAACTTACGAGGGGTGTGTTTGGGTAGGCACTAGGATTGATTTGTACCATGTCACCTTCTGTGCATACGCAACGTCCTTTACTTTTGTCAAAGTATGCTGCCGCGCTGCACACTTCATCATCAGAGCGTGTTTTCAAATCTGGTGGATTTCCTGGACATACGATTTTAAGCTTGCAATGAATAAAATCCTTTCCGAGACACATCTTACGACATACAATGTGGATCAAGAAGGAAGAGAAGAGAAGATGATCTGAATGCTTGCTCAAGAATCAGTTTTCTGATTTGCTCAAGAAAAAAACGGAGAAACTGCCGAAAATTTCCGAAATATGGTCTTAGACTCCATAACTGATTTCAGTGAGTGCAAGGAAACGTGTAGCGGCTGGGTTTTTGAGTGGGTTCTCTGCTATATAACGAATCATCATCACCAATATTGTTTTTTCTGTCTTACCACTACCACTATTATAAACCTGCACCGTCTCCCGAAACACCTTTGTCAGGCAGTGGTTATCGTCCGGCATGCGATCTCAGTCATAATGGGGAGGTCTGGGGATACGAAATCAACAAGCTACGCCGTTTCTGTATTGTGCACCGAGCTCGTCACTAACTTGTCACGTCACGAAATGCATAGCAGCGGGAGCGTGGTTGAGTGGCGTCGTCGAGATTGGTTTAGTCATGGAGCCTAACAGGAAGTCAGTGAACGAGACAGGGGCTAGTGAGGAGCTCAAATAGGGGCAGGAAAGCGTGAACCGCTTGCCACGTAGCCCGCACCA